ATTTTCATTGGACATCACACACAATTCAGCATGTGGTGTCCGCACAGAATAAGCGCTCTCATGTCAGATGTTAAAATTTATTTGACAGTCTATCACCCATTAATAGGAAAAGTTAAACACAACTAAAATGTATTGATATACTTAATACCTAAAATTTGATATTTACATTCATAATATTTTGATATTAAAACTTTATGTATCTAAAAATAAAAAGCAAGGGGCATTTACATACAAACACTCAATTCTATGTAATTACATATCTAACATATAAATTTTATTTCTTATTTTTTATCACCCATTTGCTTGTATTATATCATTATTTTAATTTTTCGAAACTAAAATGTACCTTCTAACGCATGCACAACATTGTGTGTGTGCTGTGGGACCAATTTTTGTTTTTATTTATTTTTTTAATTTTTGAAAACAAAAAAATAATAAATAAACAAAAAATAATATTTGTTTGTTTGTTTTTGGTTTATTTCAATTATTTATTTTTTTGAGGAAGTGTATTGGTTTTAAAATACTTAAAAAAAACATATTTTTTTTCTGTTTTTTTAAACAATGAGTACAAACGCCCCGCATGTTGTCGCCCTTCGGGCAGTGAGTCGGTTGCCGCTCGCTTGCCCGCCCACAGGTAATGTTTCGTGCTAGATGGATCAAGGAAGACGTCGTGCATGAACTACATAGCTTAATATTAGAACCCACATAGACTCAATCATTTAAAAAAAAATATTCTTTTTTCTTTAAAAAATAAAAATTATCATGGAGAAAATGTTTTATATTTTTTATTTTTAAAATCATATAAATCACAACATTACCAAACACATTTTTTAAAAACATAAAACAAAAAATTAAAGAAAAAAAAGGGGCTAAAATTAAAAATAAAAATAGAAAATAAAAATGATCCCAAACTAGTCTTTGTAACTTATAATTTGCAGCACAAAACTAATAGTGTGTAACGAAATGCAATATTAATGAACTTAGCACCAGACTCGAATGACAATCTAAGACGTACCCCAAATTCCTCGGCTCATTTCTCCAACCAAGGTTAACAAGTTTGCTGAGTACTAGCTACCAAATATGAGTTATGGAGTGAGCATTATTCATCGTTCAATCGAGCTCAACTTGTCTATTCTACAAAGCGACCCGATTAGTTTCATGGTCTATGAGATCAGTTTAATCAAATGTGACCCAATTCATTCTAAGTTTGATCTGGCTTGGCGTCAATCTATCTCAGGGTTCGAGCAGGTTGACAAAATTGTGACCTGACGGATGTATAAGTAACATATAATGAACACGACGTCTCCAAATGATAACATGATATAGATATAGGAGTAGTTTGTTATCTTTTAACATAATTTAACTATTAAGATAATCACAAGATTTTTCACAAACAACCTTATAGGAAGTGTAGTTTTGTGGTCATGAGTGCTTGTAAAATATGATAGACCAATTCAACACTAATACGAGTCATTCCTTGAATCACTAATTCAAATCATCCCCTTACACATTGTGAAATTTTAATTAGAGTTATAATTGGCCGATTTAACAGTAATCCGAGTTGAATTTGATTTGCAAACTATTAAAATTTATTAGAGAAAACTTCAACCAACACTGTATGTTTTATTTAATAAATGTTCAAATCATTAAACTTGAACTAAGTGGCCAATGACATTCGCCCAAACCATTAAGAGGTTATAGATTGAAGTCGCATGAATGCTTCATGGGATAATTTGTAAAATCAAGGGGGGTTTTTTTTTTTATTATATGCTTGAATGTTGGCAGTTAGATAATATGTTATCGTTCTAGCGTGATACGAAGATTTGGCACATACTTAGAAGAGAGAAGAATTAATAATAATGTCAGAAGTTCTTACGTGAAAAACCAGTAAAAGGAAAAACTACAGGGTCTCTGTGTCCCACAAACGAGAAAAGGGTTACTAAGTCTTCAAATTTATTACGTTGAGATATAAACGATCTTGTCGCAAAGAAGAGACGACGGCCGATGATGATCAACGAGGGTCGACAAGTGGTTGTGGACGACAGTTGACACGTGGTGGTTGGTGGTGGTTGGCGATGGTCGACAACGACAAGAGTGATACTTGACTTCAGCTTTTCAAAGCTTCAAGCGCTTCATCTAGGTCTCCTCATTTTCATGAGAGGAGTGAGACTCTATTTATAGAGTTCTGAGTGCAGTTAATACTGAAATATGAGTTATTTTGATCGGACGGTCCGGACAACTTCATTTGAACATTCAACGCTTACTGGACGTTCAAATGCCTTAACGATGTCGGAATTGAGCGATCTTATGCTCGTTGGATTCATTTTGTCGAGACGCTTGATTTGATACTAAGCTCGTCAGATAAAACATTTATTTGACCTCCAAATATGCTTAGAAAGTTTTCAAAAGTGGTTTAATTGCATGATCTGAGCTTGATTTGGTTCAGATTGAATCAATTTTGGTAACATTGAGTCTCTGCCTTATCGATCTGATTTGTTAGAAGTGCTGATCTTTGGACGATTCTTTATCAAAGTTTGAATATTTCTTGTTTAAAAGATTATTAATTGAAAAGGATGAAAAAAATTTAATTGTGTTGGTTTGAGCGCTCAACTTGCTCAAAAATTTTTTTCTTATTATTAAATAAAAACAATAAAAAATTTTACATAAATATTATAAAACTGTCATGAAAGTAAACATCTAACATCCATAAATTAATATTTACTCATAAAATAATAGTTTAGAAATTCAATATTGAAAAAATAATGATGCTGATATGTATGTAAATATGAATATTCAGATATTTGATATGCAAAAATATAAGAATTATGTCTCAAAATTAAAAAAATTAATTTGAAGAACTCAGAGTATTGCCCTTATCACCATATATTTGATATGCAAAAATATAAGAATTATGTCTCAAAATTAAAAAAATTAATTTGAAGAACTCAGAGTATTGCCCTTATCACCATATATTTGATATGCAAAAATATAAGAATTATGTCTCAAAATTAAAAAAATTAATTTGAAGAACTCAGAGTATTGCCCTTATCACCTTAGGATGGTGATAGTGATTAAGGATCCCTTCCAACCACGGGGCATTTTCATCACCGTTCTCCATATTAATTGGGGTGAGAGAGGCTCGAACTCTCGACCTCAGGATTTCTCAACATTGCTATGAGACCTACGCGCTAGCCAACTGCGCCACCACCCCGTGTTGTAACTAATTGCAATTAATATATATTTAACCAAATTAATATGAAATTTATAATTTATTTGTATTTTATTGGTTGTTTTTATGAATATGGCACATTTTTTAGGTTGATTTACATAAATAACTCCCAATTCTTAAATATTTGCATACATAACACCTATACTTTGCGCTTTTATATTTCCACCACACGAATTTTTCAGATCATATCCAAAATATCACTATTATAAGTGTTTAAAGATGAAATAGGCATTTTAATGTTTGAAGTAAGGTGGTATATATACGTAAATTTTAGAATATAGGTGTTTGATATATAAATAAGCAGTGAGTGAGTGGTATTTATGTAAATCTTCCTTATTTTTAAATATCTTTTGTTGTGATGGACTGTTAAATAATAATAAATGAAGGATTCATATCATTCACGTTCAAAGAAGACAAAAACTATGTCAGCTGAATTTTCATTCATGAAAAATTTCGAATGAATATTAAAGAAAATAGAAACATGAAATATTCATTTAAATGTCCATTTATGTATCTAACACCTATACTTCTTACATTTATATCACCCAAATCTCTTATATCATATGACAATATACTATTATTCTTTATATAGGCAGAAAATTACGCTAAGACCTTGCCAGGCCAAAACAAGTCCTCGACTGAGGTAAAAATATTTCAGTTGGCCACCTCGCTTCAATCGGTCGGCTAAGTTCTCTCCTTCGGCCACCTCATATTAATCGGCTGGCTAGATCTCTTCTCCAGCCACATCATGTCAGTCGGTCGATCATTTCTCTCAAATGACCGATTAATTCTATCACGATTATCGAGGCTATCCAACAGTCCTGAGTAAGAAAAAGACTAAATGTCATTTGCTTTTTCTCTTTAAGGCAAAATTGAATATGTAAATTTTATATACTTTTTACTTCTGTCTCTATAAATATGAGAGTTTTATAATCTAAAAAAGAAATTTTGGCTTCCCCACACTTATAAAAACAAGCTTTATAAAATAACAACGGCCCACGAGCCGAGAGACGTTCCCTCCCACTGTGAGAAGTCTTCCTCTCATATTCATTTTATTTCCCTCTCTCAATCACTTTTTTTCGATCCAACGTTCTATTTCTTAGGCGTTGTCTACCGGACATATTTGGATTCAACACTTTTAAACTTTAAAAAGTGAAACACACATTTTAATGCATAACTAAGGGTGAACACATAGGAATTGACTAGCATGCATGTAAATCTTCATAATTCAAGAGAATTTTGATTATGTAATTGTGTCCATATTTACCAAATCATTAAAGCCGAAATTGAGTTCAACGAGCCACTAGCCTTGATCTCGTTCGAGATGCACCCAAGATGGAACTCATAAAATTTTACAAATGTAAATATCATATTTTAGATGTCATAGAACTGTGTAACATGTATTTTAAGTTTCCAATTTTTTGGGAGCCTTTACATACATATCATACACCTCTTTACATATTTACGCATCTAACATTTCAACTTTCATACATTCATAACACCCAATTTTTTAACATCACAGCGAGCATACCATTATCATACATAAATTTATAGCATCAATATTATAAATACAAATATGAAATTTCAGGTGTTAGATATATAAATACATAAAAAATTGTGTTGGATGTATAAAACTTTTCCCTTTTTTGGGCCTCATAAAAAATGGCAGGAAATCGAATATGGACAAACAAAAATCATCTCATTAATTCCTTCTAAAAATCTTGATAAAGAGCTCCTAATCACCACAAATTACATGCATTCATGAATTTCAAACATAAATGGATACTTAGATCAATGTAAAATAAACTACTACAAAAAACTCCATTCACTCGTCTTTCAATTACATGGAATGATAGAACACCTTTCTTTTATTGCAATAAAACCTCACTCAACAACTTTATTTCTATTCACACCCAAAGGATGATGAAAAACCAACCATACAAACATGAAAAGAAAAAAAATATATATATGAAAAACATAATAGTTTGATGTTGAAAATAATCAACATAGATTGCATTTTCTGATTCTAATATGTTGTAAAAAAAAAATCTGTCAGAAGAATTCCATGCCTGAAAAAGCAGCAGCAGCTGAAGTTCATTTAGAGGATGTTGCCGGAGCTGGTCCTCCAGTTGTTGGCCTGAGAGCAGATTCATCAATCGGTAATGGGTAATGAGTATCGTAAAATATTTGCCAATATGTCCAAGGTTTAGGGTGCAAAAAGATTTTTGTGTTTGCATATCTAACACCTAAAGTTTGATATTTAGATTTTATAACAATTTCGTGTTATAACCTATGCACGAAAAAATTTGTTTTCAATTTTCAACAGTCGGCAATAGTGATATTTTTTACTTAATATTAAAGATTTCATGCAAATATTAAAATTAAAATATATAAAAGAAGAAGATTTACATACATACCATTCATTTCCTATGTATTTACGTATCTAACACAAACATCAATTTTTACATACATACTACCTTGCCTATGCATGAAAAGGATGTATTTCACTCTTTAAAAAAAAAAATGATGGCATTTTCGATGTAATATGAAAGATTTGTGTTGTACAGACATAAAAAAGTAAAGTTTAGGTGTCAGATGTGTAAATACATAGGAATTAGGTGGCTTTTATGCAAATTGACCATAAAACATATAGCTAAAGGCATAGGAACCATAAAAGTAATTCACTTACAGATTAAAAAACACTTTGACAGAATCATAGATTACCCACTGCGCTCCAGTTAACGTTCCAATCATGACTATGCGCAGAGGAAGACCGCGAGTGAACAGACCCCATACACCTAGCTGTTTAAAAGCCTGATAAAACACCGCACAGTTATTACCGTTAGGAACAAGCAGGCTTTAAAAATGCAACAAAACAAGAACAAAAAGCTACATTTGAACTCACATCACCAACTGTAGCTCCCTTGGCATTGTTGAGGAAGGATACCAAATTGTCCGCCGGGTGTGAAATGGCAGCGCACAAGATTCCAGCAGCATAACCGCCGGCAAAGCTCACTCCGAGCTGAAAAGGTTTGCTGCATTGGTCCTTCGGCGTAGGGATCGCATATTTGTACATCATCTCGACTATGGTCTCGAAGGACGCAAATTTCATCATCGTATCTGCAAATGTTAGGTGGTTTTATATTACTTATCCGCAGAGGAGGAATTAGGAAAACCTCAGGGTAAATTTGAAATCTCCCTTGATGGAGCTCATCAAACCAAACGCAGTTGAAGAAAAATGCGTACACTATTTTGACATGTTTGTTAGTTTGTTACACTCAATATTAAAGCAAAATAAAAATTGGAGCATTTGCATGCATACCACCCAATTCTTATGTATTTACATATCTAACTCCCAAACATTGTTTTTTTTACATTTATACCATCCAGATGTTTCATATCACATAAAAAATAACTTTCAAAAAGTGAAAAACGCCCTGCATGGTAAAATAGTATGCATGTAAGAATTGAAGTTTAGGTGTTAAATATGTAAATACATAGGAATTAAGTGGTGTGCATGCGAATCATCTCAAAAAATTTAGAGCAGTTTAAAGCTTTTTTTTTAATTCATTTTTGGGGGAATTTATATGCACATCACCCAATTCCTATGTATTTACATATCTAACACATATTTTTATTTTTTACATCTGCACTACCCAAATCACAAAAAAGATACCACCATTTTAACTTCTAAAAAAGTAAAATACACATTTTTATGCATAGGTAAGGTGGTATGTATGTATAAATTGTACGTGTTAGATAAGCAAATACATAGATATTGTGTGGTATGTATGTAAATCTTCATTCATTTTTTTATCTTTTTGCTTACAGGGAATTTGGCGACCCCAGAGTGGAACCAATCCCTTGTACAACCTGCAGTGTAAAACAAAAAACAAAAATTAGTACAAAACACAACAAAAAAAGGCAACAAAAGCCAAGTTCTACAAACAAGCACCTACCCAACAGCCCCTTCAGCTTTCACAAACTTGGGCAACCCATCCCTTAATCCTATTGCAAAGCCCGGCTGAGTCTGAAGCCTAACCTTCACAGCCTCCATTGGACAAAGTGCAACATCAGCAATAAACTCAGCAGAAGCAGATCCAGCAAGATAGATCAAGGTCTTATACTTGGTGGCGTACTCAGGTCCGGCGATGTCGGAGTAGTATTTCTTAAAGAACTCGTAAAACCCATACTTGCAGGCACCCTGAGCACTGTAACCAAGCAGGGTCGGTGCCCAACCCTTGAAGAAACCTTTCACACCTTGCTCTTTAAGGAGAACGCCAAAGCCTGAGGAGATGCTTTTGTATTTTGCTGAATCTATCTGTGATGAAATTATAAGATTTAAAGGCCAGATATTACACCGACAAGGGTGGCTTTTAAGTAGAGAGAAAAAGAACAAATTTTTCTATGGAGCGAAAAAGTATCGCAACCAGTTTCAAAATCAAGAGATATTATCATTCGTGAATGTATGCATTTGCATTCAAAATTCAATAAAAGATATAAAATTATGCAAAAATGCATCTCTGATGTACAAAAAAAGAGCTGACATCTACAAATATGGTAGAGAGTTCCTTATCATCATCTATATGAATCAAAAGAAAAGAATCCTAAGGGCGCGCTTGACACAAAAATGAGCGACCCCGTTAAATTTCCGTGGCGGCGTATGAAAAAATAAAACTTGCTATAATCATTCATGTTTAAGCTTGGTGCAACATGAGGGTCAATTCTATAAATGTTTATTTGAGGATTGTTCATGTGAAGTGTTTTTCGAAGTGTTGAACTTGATTTATATAAATCTTCCTACCCTTTTGGTGTTAGAATTTGTGGACCCAAATTTTGTCGGGCTTGGATTTATAGGTTTGCAGTGCAACATGTGGGTGCAATCTAAATTAAGGTAAAATTTTTTTGAACATTTGTAGTTGTAATGAGAGATTTAGCCCGATACATCCAATCATGGAGCCCAACACCTTGGAGATGGAATCTTGGGTTTTTCCCTTTTGGGTGAGTTGGATGGCTGGGTATAGATAGATCTATCTCGAAACTTAATGTAACTTACCTAATATCAATAAATTTCCCTACGGGATTTTCTAATATATATATATA